CCACAACAGATACTATACAACATTTGGCTTATCAGATTGTTGCTTCCCAAATGTAGAAAGAGAGACCTTGACAGGAATATTAAAGAACTTCTACCTGGCCAAAGAGAGCTAAAGGTTGATGTCAACATCGCTAGGTAAACTTGTCTAGAAAATCAATTCTATAGGAAAACTAAAACTATAATTTATTGCAACAGCCTGTAATAGCAGAATCCTGCAAGTCTGATTGAGGTTTCTCCTAATTATTACATCAGTGAATTGGGGAAACATTTGCCTGAGCCTCTTCCAAATATTATTTTGATTCCCCTGACTTAAAGGATGCTTCAGTCTCAGATCATGGAATGCTGTGTCATCAATCAGAAAAAAAAAGCAAATGAACAGTATACACTCCTTGTTTCAAAACTCTTTCAATAGTCCATAAATCCAGAATAGGTAAGTGTTTCTCTTCAGATTTTGCTGAACTACAGCTTTCTGCAGCCGCAGCCCACAAGGAATGCTTGGAATATGATTTCAGTAATATTTGACGGGCCTCTGTTCCCTAATAAACTTACAAAAACTGTTTGGTGCAGTTAAGGCACCAACTTAAGCCAAGAGACCATAAATTCTAGTCCTGCTTAGGCACAAATCCAGATGGGTGACCACACATTCTCTCACCCCTAGGAAAAATTAAAGGGCAAACCACTTCTTAAAATCTTGTCAATAAAACTATATTTTCTTGTCCAATTAGTCAAGAGTACTCAAGATTGACTCAAAGGGACCAAAAAAAAAAGTATACATCATAATGACTTGTGGTAGTTCATTTTTTTTTTAAATCACTGAATTTTGCTACAATAGTATTCTATTTCTAAAACTTTACATTCATTAAATAGTTGAAGATTCCATTGTGTTGCTAATTGAATTGGGCGGTTGCAAAATGGTATCGAGATTTGTTTCCAGAGTGAGGTGTGGGAGGAGTAACCAATGGGTATTAACCCTGCCCTCTTGCCCTTGGAGTCTGAGGATAATCCTTTGAAGCCACACCTCTGATCCTCCTCTTGCTCTCCCAGATTAACCTCAGACTCGAGCCCAGAAGGAGTGTTTCTCTGACTCTCCCTCACCTGGAAAGTTTAGGTTTTGGGTTTTTTTGCCTTCAGGTTTTTCTAGTATTGCAGCCTTTTCCCCTGATACTGTAGTTTAAAAGCATAAGTATTTGGGGGTCACAAAGTTACCAAATGCAGATATCCTGCTTTTTCTCTAAAGAATTGAAGACAGTTTATAAGGCAGTTTTTCTGCTTATATCTTACAACATTCCTGTGTGTTGGGCACACCTGAGGGGGGGAAAAAAACCCCTGGGAAAATGGGGATTTGAACCTGGGTTTTCTCAATCCTGGTTTAATAAAGCATCCCCTGCTCCAAACTGCCTTCCCAAGCGTGACCCGTCAAATGTGCGCTCGACAAAAGCGTGCCGACAAAACCGTGGCAAGAAAACAGCGAAGACGAAATCGCGCCCACAGAAGCGCGCCGATAAATGCGCGCCGATGAAAGCGTGATTAGGGTTAAGGTAAGGGTTAGGGTTATTACGTTGTATTATGTTGTTTGTTGATGGCACGCTTTCGTTGGCGCGCATTTGTTGGCGCGCTTCTGCGGGCACGATTTCGTCTTCGCTGTTTTGTCGGTGCGCTTTTGTTGAGCGTGCATTTGTCGGTGAACCCTTCCCAAGGCCTTTGAAGATCAGGAACCTTAGAGAATAGATGGGACCTCTGATTGGGGCGGGGAGTGTTGAGGGAGGCAGCTCATGTGTGCCTTTCTTCCTGCATAGCTTATCTGAAAACCATAGTTAACTCCCCTTGATTTTCTCCAGACCACAGTTCCTCCTGCTGGATTGAACTTCAACCGTTTCACGGAAGATTCCCTTCTGCGACATGCCCAGTTTGTAGTGGAGCAGGTGGAGAGCTACGATGAGGCTGGGGATAGCGATGAGCCTCCGGTCCTCATCACGCCTTGCATGAGGGACCTGATTAAGCTGGCGGGAGTCACCTTGGGGAAAAGGTAGGAGGGCAGTTGGGCTCTGTGTGTGGGGGCCGGGGGGTTCCACTGGCTCAAAGGAAACGTCTGTCTTGTAACAAAATACATTCTTTGCATTGGTCTGGCTTTAAGCGAAGGCAAATTCTTTACCATGAACTGCAAGGTTTTACTGGTAGTCTTCCAACCATTAGTGACCATTCAAAGTTACAATGGCGCTGAAAAAAAGAGACTTATGACTGTTTTTCATACTTACGACCATTGCAGCATCCCTATGGTTACGTGATCAAAATTCAGACCCTTGGCAACTGACTTCTATTTATGATGGTTCAAGTGTAATCATGCAATCACTTTTTGCAATCTTTCTGACAAGCAAAGTCAATGGGGAAGCCAGGCTCATTTTAACAACTGTGTTACTAACTTAGCCATTGCAGTGATTCACTTAACAATTGTGGCAAGAAAGGTCATGAAATTGGGCAAAATGGGATTTGGGGTTAAATTGGGGTCATAAGTTGAGGACTAGTTATATTACACTGAAACAATTTACGTAATTTATTCAAAACTAACTCTTGTTTGGGATGAGAAGGAACTCCTCATGGCACCTGGGCCAGGTAAAGATCCAGCTTCCCACTGATCAGCTGTATGGTAGCTGAGAAAATGGCTGGACAATTTGAAGAAAATCTCCCCCCCCCTGCCCCCCCCCCAAAAAAAACATTTTTGCCTTCCTATCCTCAAAATGGGAGGATAGGATCCAACATGCATATTGGTCAACGTTTGAAAATAGATCTGTTCATGAAGTGAACTAATTTATGAAAAGAGAAGCTTATTTCAGAAAAACCTTCAGTTTTCCAAAGTCTGCAAAGAGGATAAAAGTGGGGGAGGGGGGAGTATGGAAAGAAGAGTAATAATAAAGTGTTTTGATTGAGGATAATGCCGTTTGAGCCAGCATTTTGTTATGGAAAAATACATAAATTGAATTTTGCTTCCTCCATTCCCTTTTTCAAAATACAAAAAATTATGGCTCTTTGTAGCTATTTCATATTCTAAAGCAGTGGTTCTCAACCTTTCCAATGCCAGGACCCTTTAATATATAGTTCCTCATGTTGTGGTGACCCCCAACCATAAAATTGATGTCTCAGTTCCTAAGACCATCGAAATTACGTGTTTTCTAATGGTCTTAGACGAACCCCTGTGAAAGGGTCGTTCGGCCCCCAAAGGGGTCCTGACCCATCGGTTGAGAACCACTGATCTAAAGGATAAAATCCAAAACATGTAATTTCCTTTCCTTTTCTCTATAATGATGATTTTTTTTTCTGTTTTTAGTATAAACCTCTTGCCTTTCTGCTTCGCCTAAGACATAGACAAAAATGAGGAGCCAGCTGTAACTCCTTTTAGTGCAAAATTTGAAAACAATTCAATCAATTTTTGGTCCATGGCTTTCAGTGCTAATTTTGTGCAGATAGTATGTTTTACTTAATACTCCAAAATACTTTTAACAAGAAAAATTAAACTATATGTAGTATTATAACGTAACAACGCAGTGATAAAATATGCTAACATTTAAATATTGTTTATCATATATTTTCATATTATTCTAAATATGCATACTTTTAAGAAGTAACACCTTTTCCCTCTTGCTTCAAGATTTCTAGAAATAGCAATAGCAGTTAGATTTATATACCGCTTCATAGGGCTTTCAGCCCTCTCTAAGCGGTTTGCAGAGTCAGCATATCGCCCCCAACAACAATCCGGGTCCTCATTTCACCCACCTCGGAAGGATGGAAGGCTGAGTCAAGAGCCAAGGTGGCGCAGTGGTTAGAGTGCAGTACTGCAGGCCACTTCAGCTGACTGTTATCTGCAGTTCAGCGGTTCTAATCTCTCCGGCTC